TTTTAAATGTATTTATTTTAATATTGAAAGTTGTTATTTATTTATTAAAATTATTATATTTGCTTTTTTTATAGCATAATAAAATGTAATTTAATAAAAAAATTAAGTTTTTTTTAAATTTATCAGGTGGTTCTAAACTTTTGGCTAGGAAGTGTATAAAGATATAATTATACAGTAAAAAAATTAGATCTAGCAATCATAAATTATATAAAATATTATTGACTAATTTTACTTGTAGCTTATTAATATACAAAAAACTAATAAGCCAATCCTTTAATATAAATATATAATGTATTAAGAATTGAAAGTAGGGAGTATTCTAAAATTAGATTTTACATTTTGTATTACTCTAAACTAAATAATGAACAAAATATTCATTAAGTAATAGTAATTAATATATTATTAAAAAAGTTTAGTTACTTATTAGAAATTTACAAAATTATCTAATTTTTAACTATATAATACTTTTGTTCTCTTTTGGTAGAATAAAGATTATTTTCTTGCAAATCAATAAGAATAATATCTTTTATTAAATAAGCATTCTATTTTAAATCATAACTATTCATAGTTAATTCTTTTAATTTAGTATTATCATCAACTAAATGGAATTTCCAACTTTAATTATGTGAAAAGTCAAAAAGCATTATAGGTTTATTATTTAAATTCAGTTTTATTAACTTTATATTAATCAATTTAAGTATTAGATATTGATAATTACTATAATATTTATACAAAATAGATACTAATTATATTACTATTTTTACTGCAAAACACTTGGTAATAATTTTAATGAATCTGATTATTATACAGAATATAATTTTAAGATTAAATTTAAACAACATTGCTTTCTTTACATACTTTATAAGTATTAAATTAATAGTTTTAATATATTTATTAGATATAGTAGCATTATATCATGTGATTATATAAGTTATTATAATTATACTTAAATTAGTAAGTATCTATAGAAACATTAAAAATATCAGTAAATCAAAAAATATCATCTAATTCTCCTTTTATGTCATTAACATACTTTTTTAGGTGATAAATAATGAAGTAATAAATATGTCAACACTAATCTAAAAAAACTAAGTTCTCTGAAACAATTATAAAAATTAAAATACAGTATTATGTGATATATGTGATAAATAAATATCACTTTTTCTAATATAATAATAAGTGTAGATTTCAGATATACTATTTAAGTTACACAAAAGTATAAATATAAAATGATGTGTGAAAAAAAGACTTATCAAAATGGATGAACTACAAGTTTTATAATACTAAAGAGCTTTAGAGTTATTAGAAAAATCTGAGATAAGAGATCTTTTTAGAAAAAATTTTAATTCTACTACATTTAAAAATTGAGGAAACTGAAAAACTTAATGAAGACAAAAAATTTTAGGTATTTATAATCATTTATAACATTATAAAGTCTCAAATTTTAAACTTTATCTGTTGAAGTTTTAGCATACCTTGAGTATGAGATTGATAAGTCTAATAATATTTTACTTGATTAATAAAGTGAATTATACGACTTTTAACTTTTTAAGAAATCAGAGAATGAATCTCTACTGATGATGATAAATAAACAATTGAAAATATATATGGGATTTGTTTTAACAATAATAGAACATCTAAAAAGAAAAGCTTGCCTTCACCCTAAAGAACTTGAAGGTAACAAATTATTATCACATCTAAAAATAATAAATGTAGTAATAGTAAAAACTGAATCAAATAGAATTTCATCCTATTCAATATTCTTACAGAAGATACTTAATAATCTAAAAAGTTTGAATCTTCTAAACTACATCAAGAAAAATTTGAAGGTCAATATCAAAGAATTTGATAGAAATAAATTGACATTAAATTTACCAATTTAATCTGATCTAATTCATAAATCTTCTGGTATCATTTAATGTTATATCACATTAGAAGTTATTTAGTTTAAAGTGATCGTTTTCTTTAAAGATCATAAATATACATAAATTTTTTAGATCTTTTTTTATAGTAATTATATATCTAGTATATAAATAACTTATTCAGATATCTCACAAATACACATTTTATAATTACAATCTTACTCATCAATTCTGCTTATCTCTTCTTACTATAGATAATATAAAACTCTTTACTTAAATAAATAAAATTTACAAGTTGCAAATTTTTTTCATATATCCAAAAAATAATTTCACATTATAAAAATCTATTCAAATACAATTTGAAAATGTTAAAGATTCTTTATTAAAATAATAATAATTATACAAAGTATTTAGCAATTACATATTTAATATCATCATAAGACAAACCTGTAATAGATGATAGTGAAAAGTTTTAACTCATCTTATCATTGCCTTACCTATTATATCTATATTGATACTACAGCCATAGACTTTTTGAACTCTTTTGATTCTTTTTTAAAAAGCTTCTTTTGAAGTATTTTTAAAAGTTATTTTCTTGATAATTAGAGCCTGAGATACTAAATCTCTATATTTTAAATCTCTTTAATAATCATACTGTTTTGATAATGCCTTTTCAAAATCATAGTAATAACAAAGAACTTCTTGTGTTATCTTTTTAAAAAGGTTTAAGTATTAACAATTTTATTATTTAGGTTGAGAAAAATATTTGAGTCACTGTTCGATTCAGAGGTAAGTTCAGTTTACAAGATTTTTTCATTTTCAGGATTAGCAGTAGACAATTTTTTAATCAGTCTTTATAATATAGAGAAATTATCCCCTTTTAAACTTCTTTATCTTTTTATTAGAAATAGATACAGATAATTCATGACTATCTTCCTTAGAATATTTTTTCTGCGTAATACTTGAAGCCTATTCTACTAGAAATAATTCCAAATCTTTGGCTAGACAGGTAGGACAATTTTTTAAAAAAAAGGTTTTAAATATTTTAATTAACAATTTTATTAATATTAATTTTATTATATTCTATTTATATAATATTAATCAACTAACCATATGTTTTCTTTATATAAATTTTTTGTATTATATGTTATTGTATTTTTTTCTTTTTTTAGAATATTGATAAATATACCTATCTAAATTTTTATATTTTAATGTTTAATTATTAATATTTCAAGAGTATATAATGCATTTAGTATTCTGTAAAAAGTAAATTACATTTTATTATAATAAATGCACTAATAATTTTGATTAAAATCTTTAAAACAACCTTTTTTACCACCAATTTTTTTTTTTTTTTCTAACAGGACCATGGTAAAAAGAAAATATAGAACTTGCCTAATCCAATAAATATAGCTGTAGCAAATGTAACTAATAATAATGCTATGAATAATAATGTCAACCAAAATAACAACGCAATAAATGTACAACAGGTCATGCAACTGTTAACTATTCTATAGTCTTTAAATTTTCAGAGTCTATATCACTAATAATAAATATTGTCAAAATTTTCATTGAAATATTCTAATAAAAATTCTTTATGCTCAAATTCTATATTACTGCTTATTACAATATTGCATCCTTCTAATAAATTCACAAAAAATAGAGAAGATAGGAGGAAGAAAATTTCATATTCTTGTTCTATTATTAGCAATTTTCTCTATTAAAATAGACAACCTAAAATGCAAGTTTTAATACTTGAAAAAAACCAAAAAAATCTCGAAAACAAACCTTTTATGGTAATAAAAATGATCTTCATTGTATCGCATTTTCTAGTGTTACAAACTATCATCAAGTTTTGGCGTCATGTTGTAATAAATTCGGAATAATATGAAGTTATTTAAGTAAGTACAAGTTATTATATTTAGATTACATTAACAATATTAACAATAAAAAAAAAATTTTTTTTTTTTATTTGGTGTTTTTTGACCGGGTTATTAAGAAGGAAAAAAATAAGACACCCGATCGGATAAAAACGCCCCCTTAACTAACTCAGCCTCGTCTTAGAATTACACGCGATTGTAATTTAGAGAAAGGCAATATTGCATTTTGCTATAATTAGACATGAACATCTTTATTATTTTTATACTGTATGTGGGGTTAATTAAAAAAACGCAAGTTCGTCTATAAATATAGAGTTCAAAAATTATTTTTTTGTTACTTTTTAATGCATAAATAATATATATTTGTTTAATAATAATATAAATTGTATCACGTTTAAAATTTCTAATACCAATAAAAGTTGGAACTAACGGTTTTAACAAATTCCTAATCCTTTTTTTCTCAACCCTTTTCTTTTCATTCTTTTTAATATTTTCCTTACTCTCATTTATTTTTTATTTGCTATATCAAGGTATTGTGCAAGGTTCTTTTCTTTTCCCTTTTTTTTTTTTTGAGAAATTGTACTAAAAGTCCTTTTTTTTAACATCTAGCATATTTTACAAAAAAATTATAAGCATATAATATATAATTAGACTACATTAAATAATGCGTACACCAACTCGAAAAGCGACCATTATTTTCGTTGGCATCTTACTTTTATTTTTATTGTCTTTTGTTTCCGCAGAAATAGATAAAAGAGGTAAGCCGAATTGCATTATTTTTTATATACATCAAGAAAAAATTGTGTGATTTACATGCATTAACTTGACTAAAATTATAATAGATCCACAAGAAGCACCACCAAAAGAGCCAGAGGCTCCAGCAGATGGCAAACAACCGGCTGATAATGGCAATGGCAAACAACCAGCTGATAATGGCAATGGCAAACAACCAGCTGATAATGGCAATGGCAAACAACCAGCTGATGATGGAAATGCAAAACAACCAGCAGCTGATGAACCAAAAGACCCAGCAACAGGAGGAAAACAACCGGCTAAAGATCCAGCTGATGGAGCAAAAGACCCAGCAGCTGGAGGTAAACAACCAGCAGCGGGAGGTAAACAACCAGCGGCGGGAGGTAAACAACCAGCAGCGGGAGGTAAACAGCCTGCAGCAAATGGAACGGATGAAACACCACCATATGTTGACCCTTTAATGCCAACAGTACAAGTTCAAATAACTGAACCAAAATCAGCAAAAAATATATTATATAAAATAGGATCAAATATTACATTTGAATGGAAATATAGTGCTAATTTCAGTGTTAAACCAAAATACCTTATTGTTAAGGCGCAACCAAGTGTAAACCTAAAAACTTTTTATACAATAGCACAAAATCTTACAGTTAATGAAACGCAACAAGTGATTTGGGATACTTCTGCTGAAAGTTCTTCTTTACCTATGTCTCAATATAAATTATTGATCTCTGATGAAGAAGGTATGGATGCGGCTCCTAAACCTGGTGGTCTTCAACCCTTTGCAAATTTAATATTTGGCTTATATCAATCACAAGAAGATGGTAAGTTTTTTTTAAAAAAAAAAAAAAAAGTGATTGTGAAATTAAAAAATTATAAGCTAACTTTTTTTTGACAATTTTGTAGACCCATTTTCTTGTCCAAGCTGTAATAATAATGCTGCTAATTCATTCCAAATAATTCCATTATTAAATACTATTGGTTTAACTCTAATTACAATCATGTCATTTAGTTTTATACTGATTTAAATTATTAGTTAAGAGAAGTAAATACATGGACTATTTAAACTGACATTTTGAAATAAAAGATTTTGAAGTTGACAATGAACAATAGGAAAATATATTCTCTGCTATATTTGAGGAAAATGTATTAGATAAAAAAAATATTTTAATAATCAATAATTGTGCTCTAATTTTAGTTTAGAAAATTTTTATTACCCGTTATTTTTATTTCTTTATATTTTATAAGTTTATAATTTTTACTTTTTTAATTTGATCTTATTATTTATTAGGCTAGCAATAGAATTAGTAAATGATATAAAGCGTCTATTTCAAGAGAAGCTTTTTCAAAAACGCTGGCCAATTGGAGATTGCATTCATTTTGAAATAATAAAATTCAACCGTTCTTACTATAATTATTTATCAATTAAAAAAAAAAAAAAAATAATTATATAAAATTTCTTTTTACTATAAGAAAACACTTTAGTTATTTTATTAATAATAATAATAATAATTTTCTTTTATCGTTGAATATTTTTTCCTTTAACAACTAATTCAATTTCTTCTTGTGAAAGAGTTTCATAATCCATCAATGCTTTTGCTAATCTATGTAACTCTTCTTTATGAGTTTTTAATAAATTACTTGCACGTATTTGAGCATTCTAAACAACAAATATATAGACGTATACATGAGTATCAAATAATATATTTTAAAAATAATTATCATAACTCACCTCTGTTAGTGCCTTAATTTCAGTTTCTATAACTAGTTTAGTTTGTGTACTTAATTGTTCCATCTCTTCTTCTGGATGGGCTACTGGACCAACCTATAAATTTAAATTTGAATATTTAATACCTAAAAACATACTAATAATGTGTATTCATTTATTTACCTTATCACTCATTCCAAACAATGTAACCATACGTTTAGCTACATTTGTTGCTGTCGAGATATCATTGTGTGCACCAGTTGTCACGTTTTCTTTACCAAATATCATTTCTTCTGCAACTCTACCACCCATAGCAACATCAATCATTGCAAGATATTCTTTCTTGGTATAACTGTCTTTATCCATCTCGGGTAATTGAACAGTCTAAAAATAAAATAAAGAATAAATCCAATAGTTTTTTTAAAAAAAATTGAAAATTGTAGATCATTTCTTACTTACCATACCCAAACTATTACCTCGTGGCATGATTGTAGCTTTATGTAATGGTAATGCTCCCGGTGTATACAATGCTACAAGTGCATGACCACCTTCATGATATGCAGTTAATCGTTTACTATCATCTGTAATTACGGCAGATCTGCGTTCGGCGCCCATGATTATTTTATCTTTGGCATGTTCCATATGTCTCATTGCTACTTCACGAGAACCGTCCCTCGAAGCTTGTATTGCCGATTGATTAACTAAATTAGCTAAATCAGCACCCGAGAATCCTGGTGTACCTCGTGCAATAACACTTATGTTCACATCTTAAAAAATGTATCAAATTAAGTTAATTCATTTTTTAATCTTGTAATTCAAAAGAAATGATTATACATACCACGTGACAATTGAACATTTTTTAAATGATGCGACAAAATTTGCATCCTACCACGAACATCTGGGAGGGGAACTTCGACGTGTCTGTCAAATCGACCGGGACGAACTAATGCCTTATCTAAGAGTTCTGGAAAATTCGTTGCCGCGATGAAAATAACTCCCTCCGTTTGTGAAAACCTACAATTACCGTTCATAAATAAAGTAAAATTTTTTTTTTAAAAAAAAAAAAACTTAGAATAATGATCAAAACCTACAAACCCATCCAAATCGACTAATAATTGGTTGAGCGTCTGTTTCATATATGTTTGATCTTTGGGATTACGTTTTGAGCCAATTGCATCTAACTCGTCAATAAAAACTATACTAGGCGCTTTGCGTCTTGCAGCAGCTATATAACAATTCGTTATTAACAAATAAATAACTCACAAATCAATATAAAAATAAGTTAATAAAATTATTTACCAAAAAGTTCACGGACTCTCCTGGCTCCAACTCCAACGTACATTTCATCAAATTCGGAGCCTGACATGAAAAAGAATGGTACACCTGCCTCACCGGCAACGGCACGCGCCAGCAATGTTTTTCCAGTACCTGGAGGTCCAGTTAATAATACTCCCTTAGGTAATCTACCTCCTAAACCAGTGAACTTTGATGGATCTCTTAAGAATTCAACCAATTCTTCTAATTCTTCCTTGGCTTCATCAACACCATGAACATCAGAAAATTTAACCACCTGTTGAGAAGATGGCTCATATTCTGACTGTGATCCCCCGGTCTTTAATAGACCGGAATTTTCCATAGCGATACTAAGGAAGGTCAGTATACAGAAAGCATACGTAAATGTAATTCCTACCCAACGCAACGCGCGCCAAAACATGTATCCACGCGCTAAACGATCAAAAATAAATAAATATAGATTTATATTGGAATGGATATGATTTTTTTAAAAAATAAAAACGTATGTAAATAATTCTATCAATACCTTCTTCAATTACAACATAAATCGGGTTGTCTTTATTTCCAGCATTTGCTGCTATAGTTGCTGAGCTACTCTCTACTGTAGTTTTCTTTCCCTGACTTTTCATAATGCTTTGTACTAAATCTGTTGTTAAAATTGGTTTACCTGTTTTAGTAATTATGAATTAATCAAAAATTGAAAATTTTAAAAGAAAAAACAATTTTTTTTTTGTGTATTACCTCCTTCTGTTCTAGTTTGTTCCAATTTTTGTATAATTT